CGCCCCCTGGGCGGGGCTGGCGATCGGGCCACGCCCCAAGGGCGGGGTCTGGGCCCCGCGGGCTGGCTGGGGCGGCCCGTGCAGACCCTCCTCCTGGCGCTGCTGCAGAGCGGGAGCTCGCCTGGTGCCTGGTCCTGGCGCCCTCCTCCTCCTCCGTCCTGGCTGGACCTGGAGTCCCACATCCGGCCCCATGGCCAGGGGCGCGCTGGGGAGCTCCGGTCTCAGCCTGCCTGAGCCTCATACTCCGCCTGGACCCCTGACCTGGGTGTCCAGTTGACAAGGCCCCGGTGATGGCCTGAGGACCTCGGAGGAGGCCTGGCAGAGGCCCACCGGCCTCCATCCAGCCCCACCCTCTTGGCTGCCTCTCCCGGGATCCCCCAGGCACCCTACCACTGTAGGTCCTCCGGGACACAGCGCCCGGCCAGGCTGATGTCAGCTGTTAATGGGGAGGCGGGAGGGGAATCCACCATCTGGTCCCCACCCTCCGCCCTCCACCCTCAGCAGATCCAAGCTGCCTCCCAGGTCCTTCTTCTTGGCCAAGGTGCTCCAACTCCTGTCCAGAGCAGGCAGGCACCCGGCACCCCGCAGCCCGGGGAAGAGATCCTGGCCCAGCGCCCGGGCCCTGCAGCAGGACTGTGGCAGGGGCCCAATCTCAGGTTCCTTCCTCCGCACCCACCTGGCATCCCCGCGGCCAGCCAGGCCCCAGCAGACCTAGTAAAATTCACATCGCCTGAAACCCACCCTCTTCCCTGTTATAAATGTTACCATTCCGAGTTTACTTAGAACTTTCCAGAACTTCCCTCTCTCTCTCCTTTAGCCCCTTCCCCTGCCTGTGTCTGTCCTGGCCTCTGAATCTCTGCCTGACCCTCTCTGTCCATCAAGAACCTCATTGTCCAGCACCCCATCCCCCTCCCAAGTGCATGAACAGCCCCACGTCACTACTTAGTGGCAGCCACCATGACCCAAAAGTGAGTGATCACTGCACCCCAGGGGCTCCCTGCAGCCCAGGACAGGAGTGAGGCAGTGAGATGCAAAGGCACAGAGAGGGAAAGCCACTTGTCCAGAGTCACACAGCTAGGAAGAGCCCGTGGCTCACAAACGAGCCAGGAGGGGATGAGGGGGCCACAGCTTGATCTGAGAACCGGCCACAGCTGCTATCAGACCAACTGCATCACCCACCAGGAATCTGGGGCCCAGGGCGGGCCTGACGCACAGTTGGAGGAAGTTGCTGCTGATAAGGCGGAGACAGAATGGCCACAGCGGGCAGCAGTGTGATTTACATTCATGACAATCTCACCGGCTCCCAGGGACCAAAGGACCAACTGGGTGGGCCCCAGCCGCACCACCTACACCACCTGGCCAGTCCAGATGGGGAAGAGAGGGCTCAGTAGTGTTTACTGGGTCTGCATCCTTGCTGGGCAGCCTTGGGGAGGTTACTACACCTCTCTGAGCCTCTGTCCTGGAATAATAAAAATAACTCCATTCGATCGTCACTAAAGGTCTGGGAACACTGGCTTTGGAACCCCAAGGCTTTTTTTTTGGTTTAAACATACAGCTTCTCTATGTGACCTTCAGCAGGTGGCTTTACCCCTCTGGCCTCCGTGTCCCTGGGTACAAGTGGTTCCTGACTCCTTGGATTGTTTATTTATTTTTTTTATTTTGTTTTGTTTGGGTGCCAGGGATTGAACCCAGGGACACTTAACCACGGAGCCACGTTCCCCAGCCCTCCTTTTAAAATTTTATTTAGAGACAGGGTCTCCCTGAGTGGCTCAGGGCCTCACTTTGGCTGAGGCTGGCCTCCACCTTGTGATCCTCCTGCCTCAGCCTCCCCAGCGGCTGGGATGCTAGGCGTGGCCACCGCGGGGCCTCTGGTCCGATTTCTGACAGGCGTCCTGGCAGGTCCTGCGGGGCAGGTCAATTGGTAGCCTCTGGCTTGAGGTCCATTTCTTCCCCGTTAGATTCGGACGCAGCTCAATATTCACTGGGCGCCAACTTTCCAGGATGTTCTCCGCAAAACCTTCCGCGGACGCCAAGGAGCCCCACAGGCTCGTCACCCGGGAGACCGCCCCTCGCCCCGGTGGGCTCCCCCTGGGCTGGGCAGAAACCCCGTGGGTCCAATGGGAGGGCAAGTCGCCTGCGGTTGGTGACTAAGACAAGCAGGTCACACCCACTGCACAAATGCTGGCCCAGGACGGGATCTGATTCTCATTAGGTGAATCTGCTGAAAGAGGTCGCCTTAATGGCAGGGCGTCCCCACCCGGAGTCCCCACCCTCTCCTGGGTCCCTCC